TGCCTTGTCGAGAGTCATCCCTGAGAGTGATTATTTATTTTAACACTTTATTTTCTGTTATTTGTCTTACATAACTTTTTTCCCCAGTTACTAATAGAGTTCAATAAATCTGTGTCCCCTCTGAAAAACAATCAGGTAAACTGTAAGTGGAGTATTTATAATCCTGTTTCCAAAAAAAGTGTAAAATAAAGACAAAAGACTGAAAAAAGGTATGAGATGCTAAAGCTTGTGTTGTGGGGAATATCTTGAAAGAAATTAGGTTAAGCAACAAAAACTGGGAATAATCAATCATGTTGCCTTATTAAGTCCTTATTGTTACTTATTTCATGGGTAAAGATAAGGAGGATCTGGCCACTCTAAACAGTTTGTTATACTGATAAGGAGTTTCATCTTCTGTACACAGTGGACTGACACTGGCTAACATTTACAGCTCTTTTACACTATGATCACATTTAACCATGCATTCATTCAGGCCTCTATCCACCTCACATCTATGGCCAGTTTAGAATCACCAATTAACCCATCATCTATGTTTTGGATGGTGGGAGGAAGCCAGAGCACCAGTAGTAAACCTATGCAGACACGAGGAGAACATGCAGTCCACACAGGATAGTTCTTGTTGTGAGTTAAGACCACTGCACCACAGTGCCAGTATCATGAAAAGATTCAGCGAATTGGGAGGAATCTTGTATACACGAGAAAAAGGTCTGAAAAACAGATTTTAATGGCCGTAATCTTTGAGCCACTCAAAGGAACACTTAAGAGAACCATTTCTCAATACTTCCAAAAGCCATGCCATCTCTCTATGACATTGTGTTAGGCACACATCTGAATGCTCCAGATCTGCAAAGTGTCAAAACGTCTGCTTTGACAAATAGGTTGTGGCTGTGGCTGCTACTTAACCTCCTTAATTCCTATGGAATATAGTAAGGGCGTACTTAGTTTTCCACACATGACTCCTGCATTTTTCCTTCACTTTTGTTAAACAAACAACGTCATGTGCTGTTGTTCATCTGAGGCTGTTTACTTTACTTTTATTTTCTTAAAGCCTTTTTCCACACGACTATAAGGAAGGTGGCCTTCAGCTGTGGTGCTACCTGAAAATGATACATTAAACAAATATGAGTGCAAGTCAAAGTGAATTTAAAAACGTGGCCCTTGTTTGCATGTTCACACTTTACCAAATTTGGAGTCTAAGCAGAAAAAAGCAATTTTGACACAAACTGTAGAGAGTGGGCACAGACAGTTTTATTAAACTTCTCCTACAGCTGCAAGTGCTGATGGTGTCAGCAATAAATGCAAATGCAGCAAAGCAAACCTTAGGAATTATTATTATCATAGGATCTTTACTCTATAATATAAAGTGCTTTGGAAAAATGTATTTTATCTGATCCATAAAATCAGAAATGACAAAAATCAATAAATTGAATAAATCAGATTCCTCATTTTACCAACCAAAATGCCACAGCAGAGGTCTGTACTACGAGGCATGATTTCCTTTTATCCAGGCAACTTTCAGGTTAACCCTGGATTCTTAATACTATGAGTTGTGGATCACTTCTTACCGGGTATATTGACATCATAATATAACATGTTCTGGCTGACCTCATCTTCAACTTGCACGTAAACTAAGCCTAAATTTGAGTTCAGTTTTTATATTTGTTCTTTACTGTCAGGCTGTTAAACACCACTGAGGCTGCTGCTAAAAGAACAAAAACTAAAACTATCTTTTCAACATCAATTTAATCAAATACTCGTTATAATCTATTAGAGTCTCCCACTCTCCCTTATCTTAACGACAGAACCGTGTTATTGATAGGTCTGTTAACTCACACACTATGCTTTTTTACTGGCTTTCTTTCCTGGCTATAAATAGGCTACACTTTATTAATATAGCAGCTCTTTTCCAACCTTACTGACCAAAGCACTTAAAGCAGATACTCTTAATACAATATTACTCTAAAGTGCTTTTCCTCTCATGCAAACTCACACTGCTGATTTGTCTGCAGGAGCTGTGTTGCTGTGTTTAACCTCGTCATATTTTTCCCATAGTATAGTTTAAGTTCTTCATTTGAAAGCACAGCCATTCTTGTGAATGGTCAGATGCTGCCAACACCCCCTCTTTCACGTGAATATGCAGGGAAACCCTGGGTTAGCTCAGTGAGATCGTTACCCTTGTGTTGCTGCCTGAATGCCTGTATTAGGCTAAGTGAATTCAGATAACAAAAAGATCTCCTGGCTGTGTTAAACTCACTTTGTAGTACAAGGCTCTGGAAAGAAGGTCGACTCAACTTGAAGTAGACACTAAAACATTTCCTCGCTCGACAGACACTCCAGCTTTAAGATACGTATTTATCTGTAAGATTTCGCCTGGATTGATTAAGATACGATGAGTTCATTTGTGGGGCTGTAAGCTTTGAAAAATGACAAATACAGTGTGACTTTCTGAAAAACAATATCACAGTCATTCAAAACACATTTGGAAGATGCACGCATACACACAGAAATACACATAACACTCCATTACTGTAGAGTACATCGGTCTCAAGTGGAGCTCTCTGCTGGTGCCACTCCTTTATCTGCAGTCATCTGGGAAGGCTAGACATAAAATAACCTGACAGCTCAGATCAGCGTTTTGCTCACATAAACAAACGTAAACACAAAGTGAAGCAATCGGATACACTCACACACTGACAAACACAATCTGGGCCACTGGCTGCCAGCAGAGGACGCTGTCCCTGCCTTTGACATTGAGACAGTCCTTGGTGTCTGGAGGTCGTTGCTCAGATCAGACACATTTAATTCGTCTCTTTGGGCTTCATTTATAAAGCATACAAGTCGCAGGCATGGTGTGAGCAGAAAAACACTCAAAATGAGCCTTTTAGAAAATCTTACTGTGACATATAAATGATCTATTCTGTAAGGAAAGTCTAGTTTTTTAATGCAAATAATGTTCTTGTTGGTTATGTGGGGGTGTTACTCTTTAAGACGTTTATCAGCCTCAGTTCTGCTTTTTTGTCCTGATCACTGCCAGGCTGGGACTCTTAAACTGAGGAACTTTTATCGGACGTAAAAGTCTGACACCATCGGGAATACTATCAGGAAACTATAAATATGTAGGTCCTTTTTTCCCCATCTCTTGTAGCTGCTGTGCTGTACTTCAAGAAGTCGTCACTTTCACACGACTTTAATGCTCAGTGGAGAGCTGAAATCACAGTTTTAGGGGTGCGCACACACACGATTCACTTTAGTTCATCACTACATTGGTCTGACCTTCAGGCACTACCTGCACAGTTTCTCTTTGCAAGCCTGAGTCTGAAGAGGGAGTATCAAACATTCAGCCTTACAAAGAGTTCTGCAGAGTCCTGCAGGAGAGAAGGATGGTTTTATTCCTAATCACAAAGTATTGTTGTAGCAGATCATGAGCTGACCGTGTTTGTCTAAACTCTGAAGTCTAAATCATTGTCAGTTTTAAAAACATTACCCACACTACACCATACCGATGTGTTTCTATGATTTTTTTAAATAGTTCTCCAGGCTTTCTGAAGGTCTTTCAAACTTCTTACATTGACATTGGTGGTTTTGTTCACTCCAGTTCTTGTAGCTGACCATTTTCAGAGGAAATTTTTGTTTTGTTTTGTTAAGCCATTCAACATTGACCTATGAATCATTCAAGGATAAAAAGGCATCAAACTCAAGGGACGAACAAGTGTTGTATCTACATGTAGCAGACAACTTAAAAAGAACAATTGTATCTTCAGGCAGCAGTGTGGGATCATTGTGACAGAGAAGGGAACAAAAGGCAGCCAACATCCAAAGAAGAGCTCTGAATGTCCTTCAAGAAGCCTGGAACACTATTCCTGAAGACTACTTGAAGAAATTACAAGAAAGCTTGCCTAAGAGAGTTCAGGCTATGTTGAAGAATAAATATGGTCATACCAAATATTGACTTTCAAGCTTGTTAGAAGTATACAAACTCTGTTTTTGCATGATATACTGTATTTCCAGGCACGTTTGCACGTTTTAATAAATTGCTGTACCTTTTTCCCATTTTCCCAACAAAATACAAAGAAATGAGGACTTCCTCAAGACTTTTGCACAGTACTGTACAACAGTAGCTTGTACTGCAGTGTCTTTGTGACTTGAGGTGACTGTTGTGAACTAGTGATACATAAATATCATTTAGATAAACTGAATAGGTGAAAATAGAAAAACTGAAACATTTTGTAGAAACCGTTTTACTGGTCTGGCCCAGCTAAAATCAAATTTGTCTGAATGTGGTTTATGAATCAATATGTGGGTTAGGGGTTAAAAGAGTGATCGTCACTTACACTGGCACTTTGCACAGGGGTCCTTCTCATATTCCAGAAGATCAGCACGACTACGAACGCTGGCGTTCCTCCTCATGCCACCGCCATCCCGTACCCCTCCGTCACGTAGGCGCGCCGCCTCCTCCTTGGCAAACACACCCAGCTCCTGGGTGTACCGCCCATACATCTGAATAGATGGAAAGGAAAAAGTTTTTACACTGGTAGTAACAGAGGAAGGCAGTGTAGAAAATGTCAGTGTGATACAGCATGTTTTCCACTTTAAAGATTAATACTGTGTTCGGTCACAATAATACATTCAGCGTAAACACGCGAAGGTTCAAGCTCTGAGTAAACAGACCCAGCTGTGGAAAATTCACTGACTGCAAATAGAAACTCCATTCACAGCTTTCCTCTTTAATTCTCCTTTAGAAATAAAAAAAAAAAAATCACTCAGCTTTGACTCAGCAGTCGTGTAATGACTTCTTTTCAGACAGATGAGCAGACAATAAGCTCCACCTGTCAGCTCCCAGCTGATTAACTCTGCAGGGCTGGCACACAATTGACTACTAACAATGAGAGGCGGTGTTCATAGCGAACTACGCACAATCAATCACATATAAAGACTGCATCCCAGCCATAGATGTGGTTGTTGTAGATTTGGCCAGTGTGTATTTAGTTATCAACACCATAATGAAGCTTTTCAAGCTGTCGTTTAGTGTTGTGGTTGTTTGTGTTTGTTGTGTTACTGCGCAGCATTCCTGGAAGATTCCTCTGCAGAAACCTCAAACTTCTCATTCTTTTCAGTGGTCTCAACAACAGTCAAATGTCCCTCCAACTACAGCTCCTCTTGATAAATGCCTGGTAGAGGAGGCTCAGAAGCTCCGGTGTGGGACTCCAGATCTGACCCCTGAACAATGTGAAAAAATGAACTGCTGCTTTGATGGGCTACAGTGCTACTATGGGAAAACAGGTATTTATGCTTCGGTGACGTTTCTTTTCATGTTGGTGGACATATCAAACTGAGCAGACCTTCACACATCTATTGTCTTGTCTCCCAGTGACTGTGCAGTGTATCAGGGATGGCCAGTTTGTGGTGGTTGTGGCTAGAGATGCCACCCTGCCACCTATAGAACTGGACTCAATCAGCCTGCTGGAGACTGACGATGTCTTCTGTACCCCTGTCGACAGCACCTCTGCCTTTACAATCTTTCAGTTCCCTGTGACAGCATGTGGCACCACAGTTACGGTAGGTGGAGGGTTATCTAGACAGTCTTTGATATGAAAATATAATCTGATCGGATTCATCACTTGAACAGTCATTTTTTTCCCCCTCTTCCCACAGGAGGAGGATGGTTTTGTGGTTTATGAAAACCACATGTCGTCTTCATATGAAGTAGGAGTTGGCCTAAAAGGCTCAATCACCAGGGACAGCCATTTTGAGTGAGTCTGTCAAATGGGAATTGAGTCATTAATTGGCAAATTCTGAACACAATGACAACACAAAAGCACTGATTATTTATTTTTATTTGAGTTAACTCGATATAAAACCCCCTTGTATTGTAAACTTTTTTCTCCTTTGGCAGCTGCGATGTAAATGTGCTTTCTCTACAGCACTGCCAGTCAGATTTTGTTTAAATGTGCTATAAATAAAATGACAGCCATCCCTAAAAGGTTCACACTTCTGATAGTGCATGTTTAAGGTATGATTTCCAAAAAGCTTAAGCAGTTCAGTGGGTACATGTTGGACTTGAAAGAGAGAACCAGCCGATCCTATTGGACTAATATCTAGAACCAGTGCCTCTGTTATCATGCCACACTACAAAGCAATTAGCCTGTAGTTTTCCTTTCATTCTATGATTTAACTCTTAAAGGGACTGACACTTAAGTAGGCCTTTGACTGCTTAAATACCGTAAAGTTGTGCTCTGCCGACAGGCTACTGTTCCAGTGTCGGTACTCCGGCACAGCCACAGAGGCTCTCATCCTGGAGGTGAACCCTGTTCCTCCTCCCGTACCGGTTGCTGCTGCAGGACCTCTCAGAGTGGAGCTCAGACTGGGAAGTGGACAGTGCCGCACAAAAGGATGTGTGGAGGGTGAGTGGCACAACCCCTAAGAAGCGGTACAGAAATGAACTTGTATGCACTAAAACTATTACTCTGCTTGCAGAAGTGGCAGCGTACAGCTCCTTCTATGCCGCGTCAGACTACCCAATCACCAAAGTGTTACGGGAACCAGTCTATGTTGAGGTGCGCATCTTGGCAAGGTCCGACCCAAATATCATTCTGAACTTGGAGCACTGCTGGGCCACTTCCAATCCAAATCCTGACAGCCTGCCACAGTGGGACCTTCTGTTTAATGGGTATATAAAAGCAATCTGATACAACTTTGTTGTACAGTCTTTGTATTTTGCGCTAAGGTGGATTCTTCTTGGCTGCAGGTGTCCGTACCGTGATGACAAATACCTGACCACAGTGGTTCATGTGGACAGCTCCTCTGGGCTTCAGTACCCGACGCACCACAAACGTTTTGTCATAAAGATGTTTACATTTGTGGATCCAAACGACTTCTTTCCACAGCAAGACAGGGTACAGCAGAGCTTACTTAAATTGGGTACCCTTCACAGAAACAGTTTTCTTGACCAAATGTACTTAAATCTTTTTAAAAGGTGTTCATCCACTGCACCACAGCTGTTTGCTATCCAACCAGCATGGACTCTTGTGAGCAGTACTGTCATCGACAGCGTGAGTATCTTGATTGTAGTTTAATACTTAAACTGCCTGGCATTCTGACCTAAGTTTACAGAACTGCAAGTTTAGCAAAACTTTCCAGAGCTTTTACACTTCAAGAAGGCAGATCGCACTGAAATTGGCATTTGCAAGCTTAAATCAAAGGTAGAAAGGCTTCCCCCTGGAAGAGCTGAAATGGCATCTAGAATGTTTAACTTTACATATTCACTTATGCACTTTAAGATTTTCTTTAAGCACTTACAGGAAAAAATGTCTGCCTTGCAGGGAGAGCAGTATCTGCAGCAAGCAAGGTTTCCCAGAGCCAGAGGAGCCTAGTCTCAAGTGGTGAAGTGATCCTGACTGAGAAAACCACAGCAGCACTGAACGCTAAACTGAAAGGATGACCTTCCACTGGCACGCCATTTCTGGCTGTCACTTTTAATAAAAAGCTTGTTAAAAGCTATGCTGAACAACTGGGTTTTGTCTCAAATCATTGCTTGAAGGTGACTAACTTTCGCTGAGCTAGATATTCTACAAAGTCAAGCCAGTAACATGATGAAGGTGCCACCCTGATTTTTGCTGACAAAGCAGCAAGATTGCATTACAACTAGATGCTTGGAAAATCTATACTAAAATGTACAATAGCAATATATATAACACAGCAGATTTACTTTCAGTGGTGAAAAACTGCATGTCAGGAAATGTGCTTGACAAGCAACATTAGATGCAAAGTATTGATGGGTTTTTTTTGTTTTGGGTTTTCTCTTTTTTCCCCTCCCTACCATGTCTCATTAAGATGAGACTCATGACCCCTTCAAGACTTGCTGGTAGGCTTCTTGCTCCCTCTTCTGCTTCCACTTTATTTTTGATAACAGTCCCTGTAGATTTCTCTATGCTACAACTTGCAACATCTCTCCTCCACTGCTCTATGCACCACCTCCCTTTTTGTGTCCCACTCAACTCCTCCTCTCATTGAGATGGGCATCACGACTCCTCCAGACTCTGTCTTTCTGCTCACATGAACAGGAGGTGCAGAGGGAAAGCAGAGCAGCTGTATAGGTTCAGTCTGATGTGCAGAGAACCATGCTGTCAGATGTCCATCTCACTCTATTTTTTATTTTTTTTTAACCTCTAACCTGCTGGAAATCATTAAAACATGATGCAGCTATGCATCATATTCAGGCAGGGCTGCATTTAAGTACCACTGCAAAATTCTCAGGAACTGGCCCATTAGATGGCGAGCAGTAACAGCTGCTGTGTGGATATAAACAGAGTGGAAAATGTTTTGCCACTGGTTAAAAATGCTGTCGGGTTGATAGATTAAAAATAGGTGCAGTGTGGAATGCTAAATGTTAGAAAAACAAGGGGTGGGTGAGGGGCAGTTGTCATGAAACTATTATTTGGGGGGCTTTTCATGTAAATGATCAATTTCTGTCCTTAATGAGAAACTCCAGATAATGAAAGCTTTCATTTTGATAAAATATAGGGTGTAAGATTGTTTTGAAAATTCATTTCCATCTGTTTCTAGTAAATGAGATTAACTCTGTTCAGTCTGGAAAGTGCAATGAAGAAAAATATTTAAAAACCTCGTATTCAGGTTTTGTGACACAACTTCACATCAATCTCAGCATGTCCTACAATCATGCAATAATGACATCATGCACGTTTTTCTCAGTCTGCATTTCCTGTAAGATCATTGGGGTGATTTTTGCCTTTTAGAAAGAACAGTGTGATAATGTCACCTCCAGCCAATGACTATGACCACAGACTGTATAAAAGATGACTCGTGACCATGTTGGCACTGTCTGGTTTTATGTGGGGGGTTGTTGTTTGTTTGTTTATTTATTTTTTATTTTATTATTATTATTTGTTTTATCATTTTAATATTTTTTCAGATAATTCTGCTTTATGAAAATGTTCCAAAAGAGTGAGGACTTACAGACTGACAGGGGGAGGGCTTCTCTGAGAGCTGACCAATTTTAAACTACAGGGGGCTCCACCTGACTCCACTCACTAGTGGTGTAAGTGGCATGCATGACTCCGTTTCCAACAGTGAGTGGAGCCGATAATAAAGATTAAATATCTCCTACTCTAGCCTTAACTGTGGGGGAGAGACACTTGAATAATATACCTTGTACTAGCATCACATTATGTTTATATTTAACTTTTTGTTTTTACTTGGCTAGCCGAAAAGCCTAGCGTGTCCAACTCTGCACTCTGTGACATGAATGGGTCGAGTCTGTATTTGGGTTTTTTTTAGTTGGTGTCAGCCACAGGTGAATGTACTGGAAAGGTGAATCCTTTTCAGCAACTTAACTGGAGGAACTGCAGTTTCTGCCAATTCCATATTTGCTACTTTGTTCAGCTCTGGAGGCTGGTGCTTGATTGTGACACATGAATTGTTCTTTTGGCTTTTACAATTCTTCAGTGTCCTTTGATAAGGAAGCAGCAGTGCTGTGAATCATAGCTGAGGTGCCAATGATGCTCTCAGTTACCAGCGAGAGAAACCCCACTGCTAAAAGCTTCTGATCTGCTCAGTGACGATGGAGACTTAATATTTGTTCATGCACGTGCTGAACACCTGCACTACAAACCTCTAAAAGAACAAAGCATGAGTGTAAAGAAACAATGTGCTGCAAAAACTGACAAAATGGGGGTGGTGTGGACAGCTTCAATTTAATGTAATCAAAAATAATCAGGGGTGTCCAGTCCAGTCCGCACACCAAAGTGTCCATGGGCAAAATACTGAACCCCGAGTTGCTGTGTACATCAGAGTATGAATCTTAGACAGAAAGCACTTAGCCACAGAAGATAGAAGATAAAATTCAAATAGATTAGTACCTCCCAAATTAAATGACTCATATCAGTCAAAGTCTAAAGATCTTGACCAGCAAAGTAGCGTCTCCATGTTAATCACTACACTCAGAAACTCAATTCCCTCTGACTTTTATAAGGTGGCAAATAAATTTTCATGCACCCACATGGTTGCACACAAATCCGCCATGAGCATCAGACAAACTCCCACTGGGAGTATAAACAGGGCCTGTTAGTGCTTCTTACTTCGGCCTGTGTGAAACCAATCACAGGCCATCTGGAGCACGGCCCCCGGTGAGAGCAGCAGGTGGGACCCTGTGGGTTAAATGAGCTGTTATCTGTAACCAGCTTAACTCCTACTTGGCTAACCTCTGTATCTACATTGTCGGTTAGCATCCCACACTTAAACCCTTTAAAACCAGTTCGGCTCCTGCTTCCTGCTGATTGGTATTGACTGGTTTCTCATTGATCACAGTGCTCACAGAGAGAAAGAAGGCACGTCTCCAATGAATAAGGTGGTGTCAGTTAATTGGTTAAATAGCAGCAAAAGCCTGAGTGGAGCGGAGTAGTCAGAGGCAACTATCATGGCTGTTATGTCATATTAAAAAGTTGTTTTTTTTAAACATGAACACACTCTGAACTAAAACAAAAACACACCTATGATTGTAACAGAAAATCATTTATTTTAAAAGAACAGAATAGTGTTACATTTACTAATTTTTACTATTTCAAATATAACAAACACGGCTAACCAGCCGTTAGGGTGCATATATCCCATGCAGCAGATTCCTGCCTTCAGATACTGCCCTCTATTTTCTGCCTCTTCTTCCTCTGTCCTTATCACAATAAAAGCAACATACCTCAAATTAAACATTATTACTATTGTATTAAAATTTAGAGTGATGCAATGAATTAAAAACAAAATTAGACGTTTTTCCCCACAAGTACTCCAGCAGCAGCTTCTGATGTCAACTAGTGAGGAGACACTCAGTACTGACATTTCGATGCTGTGTCGAGTTCACAAAGTGCAGATGTTTCAAAAAACTGCTCCAAACCCATGTCACATCACCAGAGCTCAGTGACGTTTTTTTTCACCCCAGTTTTGACAGGTAGCTTACCTGCTGCTACTAGGCTTGACTGACAGAGTGTAGAGCAAACTTGATGACACCGCAAACTCCCAGAAAGCTTAAAAGCCATCATCATCACTAGCAGAAACCACAGCAAGAGACAGTTTGTGGGAATTTTTTTGACAGCCGGGTTAGAGAAGCTCATTTTACGCACAGTGCAACTGGTGATCGTGCTGTAGAGGTCAAAAGATACCTCACTAATCATTTGTTCCAAGGGCATATGATCCACTAGTTTATTGGAAAGTGGATTTGTGGTATATCCATGACTTTCATCTCAGCAAAAACTACATAATTCCTGCGTAGACTTGCAACAACTCAGTTATGTGACTTAATTTGAGAAGTGAAAAACAGAAAATGAAATAATTTTTAATAAAAATCTGCACATATGACAAATGAAGACATTAGACATATTTTACTTGATTTTCTCTTATTGATCTTCATTTTCAATCAGCACAATGACTCATTCATTCACACTTCAATCCACCGCACAGGACACATCTTCCACAAGGACTACGTTTAGCATACCTACAAAGACAATGTTCATTTCCACAATGACATGGATCAAG